TGTGAGGCCAGTGTAGAGTTGTATAAATTACACATGGACACTTTCCTGTGATCTCACTATGTAGCAGAAATAGGCAACACATGATTAAGTGACTTTTTGTGGTATATTAGAATAATTTTCTGTTTCATTGCGTCAAAACTTATTCGAATCTAGACCTGTGTTAAAACTGGATGAATAACATTGGAATGAATATGTTGGTGGTTTGCACTTGACTTGTAGAAAGAGTTTTTTTTTGCAATCTTTTCAGCCAACTAACAATATCATTGCTAACTGAGCTTAGTATTGCACAATTCCTTGCAAAAAATATGAATTTATATATAAGGCCGTTTAATAAGGCTTCAAAGTGATCAAACTTTTATATTTTATCTGTCTATTATCATTCGGTTTCTCGCCTACGAGGTTGAATCTATACAGGTATGTAAGGTTGGGAAAGATGTATTAAATCGACTTTCTGTACCCCTATGTTGATATCAGTTTGACATGTAGCATGCTTTTCCTTATAGACTTGTATCACTAAACTTTGATAATAGTACAGTTCATGTTATGGAGAGAGCAGATAAATGAAAATCAGAGTGTGTGCGAGATCCTTTCTCGCCTAGAAAATGTGTGTCTGAGTTTAAATAGTATACATACTACATCACACGTGACGTTAACTGAAGTGCAGGTATTAGTTAACCCGCACGTCACATGAAGTCAATTCATGACATTCCTGCACTTGACGTCTAATTGGTCGCTTGTGGTTTTACTATATTGTGATGGCAAGAAAGGAAAGCGAAGAAATTCTTTTAGATGCTCTTCATTGTTCTTTTCTCCGGGTTTCAATATGTTGACAAGTAGCTGAACCGGTTTTTATGTTTGTAGTCTAATAGATACATTATAGGAGCATACGATAATTCTCACAACATACAATACTGATAGATGAGAGACTACGGATCTGAGCCGAGAGCTGCGGTGAGCCCCTCTTTCGTACAATCAGATAGCCTCATGTTTTCGATGCCATTATTCTTTTACATGTAGCATTGAACATGGTACCTTGATAAACACGTGTAATGAACGATATAATATCGAAAACATGATCGTTAAGTGTGCGTAATTTTTGCGTAAAAGATGGGAAGATGAAGTCTATATAACATCAGGCGATTAGACTTTAGCACCTTTAGTTACATTAATTGTCTCTTGCCATTTCATTATCTTTTCTTATCAAAACTGAATAAGTGTATGATTATATGTAAATCATATGCAATCAATAATTTCATGTATATACGGTATTAAAATGTATCTTTTTATTTATTTTTATGTGCCCCTACGTTTACGTGGCGGGCATTAGATTAAAACCCTTTGTCCGTCCGTTTTCCCGCCCGCCCCGTCCGCCGGCATTCGTTCATTTTGTCGCATGTAACTCAAAAAGTATTTTGACCTAGAGTCATGAAATTTTACAGGAATGTTGATCACATGTGTTGTGTGCACCGGGGGTATTTTCATTGGATATTTAAGTTTTTTTCAGAGTTTTTGCCCTGTTTTTTTAAATTTTTGCAATTTTCAATTTGTGTCGCATGTAACTCAAAACTTTTTTGACAGAGTCATAAAACTTTACAGGAAGTTGATCAGCATGTGTATTTGTGCACCTGGGTTTTTTGGTTGGATTTTTTAAGTTTTTTCAGAATTCCCCGACTTAGTAAAATTTTGAATTTTCCTTGTGTCGCACTAACTCGGAAAAGAATTTGACCTAGAGTCATGAAACTTTACAGGAAGGTTACCAGCATATGTTTGTGCACGTGGGTATTTTCAGTGGATATTTTTTTTATTTTTAGAGTTATTGCCCTTGACTTAGAAAAAATTTGGAAATTTTTTCAACATGTGTCGATGAAACTCAAAAATATTTGCCCTAGAGTCATGAAATTTAAAATTTTGATCAGCAGTGCATTTGTGCACCGGGATTTTCGTCTGGATTTATTTAGTATTTTAGAGTTATTGCCCTTCCTTAAAAATTTTTTTGCAATTTTTTTCAACTTGGATTTGACATAGTCTTTAAACCTTAGGGGCGGGTTGCTCAGCAATTTTTTAATTTCACCTGGGGTTTTGCTTGGATTTATCAAATATTGTAAGTTATTTCCTTACTTAGAAAAAGATTGACAGAACAGTGGAGCGGTTTAGGGCAAAGCCGGCGTTGTGTCCGTATTCCTCCTTTAATAAACTAGCCTCAACAAATAATAAAACATGTACATTGTATTTGATTAAACTTAAAATTGCCTTTTTGATCGTGAAATTAAAGGCCCATAATGCCCAAGAAATGCTTTATTTCTCAATATCTGTTTTTGGTGACATTTTATAGTTTTAAAAAATTAATACATTGACTTATTACTTTAACTATCCTTTGTTACTGTTTCCTTAAATTTGGCAGTTAGCAATATGATTCAGTATTTTTTTATGCTTTTTATACTTTTATGACAAATAATATCACATTCAGTGCTATTTTCTTCAGGTGATAAAGATCTAACATGCTCAAAAATAATTACATGTATTTAAAGTTTTGAACAATGCAAAAACATGAGAAGTAAAAATATATTTTTGATGCAGCAACATTTCTGTTTCAAGGTTATTTTGACTTGACTGGTAAACGCTATTTTTTTAATTCCCCTTTGTAAAAAAAAATTTTATTTTTGTCTTTTTAATTTGGGGAAAGGGAAATTTTACTTTTTTTGGGAAAGGGAAACGGGAATGGCAAAAGATGTTTTTTCCCCTCCTACTTTTTAAAATTTGGGACTTTGGTTTAAATTTTCCCTTTACCAGTTTGTATCATTGGAAAAACCCCAAAAATTAAAATAAAAAAAAAAGCCAAAAGGGGATTCAGAGCCCTTTATTTCTGTTATTTTAAATTTTTTGGGTGAAACCCCCTTTTTTTAGTTTAAAATTTTGAAAATTTAAAAAAGGGACTTCACTTCAGCATATGGGGGACTTTTGGGAACATTTTTTACTAAAAATTTTTAATTAAAGCAAAAAAGCGCATAAAAGAAACCCAAGAAATGTTTTTGTGTAAAAAAAATATTTTTTAATTGTTAAATTGGGGGGGACTTGCTATTATAATGATGATATTAAGAAAAATATTAACAATATTCTTGGCATAAGAAATACAACACATAATATAAAACAGTATGGTATGAATACGACTTTTATTAAACTTAAAAAATTTGCTTCATTGCAAAAAATGAGCACATTTCTAATTTTCTACGTAGTAATTTTTTTTTTGAAGACAAAAAATCTGTGTTAGCATTTATTATATACAATTATATACATGTATATTATCACACAGTGAACAAATACTGTTTTCTGTTTGGTTGTGTTTTTTTTTTTTTTTTTTTTTTTTTTTCATTGTTACATTTCATGTTTTACATTCTTTCTTTCATTATTTAAAGGTTGTTAGAATAACCATGATTATATACTTGTTTGTATATATTTACATAACTGATCAGATATCATACACTTCAATATTGTCTTCATCTTCTCTGCCTATACACATCTTAGACATTTCTTTTTGTTTTCCAAAAAACGGAAAAAAATCCGTAATCTGAAGCAACTGGTCAGCAGTTTTTTTGTAGTTTTCTCTGTAAGTATGCCAATTGTTTTGTTTTGTTTCAGCTGTTGAACGAGATTTCTGTCAGGTTGAAACTCTATGTCACTTACTGTCATCTTCATTTTGGTATCTTCTATAAATTTGTTGGCAACATTTTCAGCATCTTCCCCCATCTTCACATGAACAAACAATTCAGCTTTATTTGGGTTTGGAGATGCTAATTTATCATTAACTGATGTAACCTTTTCTTTGCGTTCTTGTAGCTGTTTGAGACCTTCTTCAATCTTGTCTTCAAGAAGTTTGAATTTATTTTCTATCTCATCAATAGAACTTTTTTCCAGCTTGTCAAGTTGGTCATTAATTTTTTGTCGGAATTTTCTGATATCATCCAGTAACTCAGCCTTTCTTTTCTGAAGGCTTTGTTTATCCTGTTGAAATTTGTTAGCTTGTACAGCAAAGGTCTTAGCTGATGCCTTCAGCTTTGTTTGAATTTCTCTTGAAGCCACTTGGTAAGATTTGTTTTGGATGAATTCTGGTATGTAGAATATATCTTTACATGATCTGGAAAAAAAGGAATTAAGTCTGTTTATGAAACAAATCAGTTTGTAAAAGCATCTGAAAGTAGAAGAAGTGGTTATATACTAAACAACATGTTTTAAAAATTAATAATTTATCTTATTTACTTGTTAAGTTTTATTGTAAACATGTTTAAAAAATCCGGAAACAAAGTGATCCCTTGGAAGCATTAAAGCTGCCTCCAGATGAGCAAAAATATTGATAAAATCAAACCTGAGAATAAGGTAATTAGATTTTCGGAAGAGTATAAAGATTCAAAATTCTAGTATTAATTTACACATAATTTTCGATTAATTACCAATTTTTCAGTATTTATAACTATATTTCTACTGCGTTACTAACACAGTAAGGGCTATTTTTGCATATTTTGACCTCTTTATGGTAGTTCACATTGGTTGTAAGTGCCATTGATAACGTCTAAATTGCATTATTTTTGTAACTTCACAATATTGTACTGTTAGATACTTATTCAATTTTTTATGAAAATTAGCATGAATCTGGAGGTGTGCAGCTTTAATCACAACAAAATTACATGAAAATTGCATACTTAGTTTGCAGTAGCTAGAATGATTATGTAATTATAACAGCCTTTAACTGATTAAAAGATTGAGATATTAGCCACTAACCAACCGGTATATCTAAAAGAATGACTTTCTTCAATTACCTGACAAAATGATAAACAATCCAATAGCATTCCAGGGATTTTCTTCTCAAAATTTAAAAATTGACTGACCATCAGTTCTTGGTCAATGATGAGTTGACAGAAAGAATTCACTAAGCGGGTAGACTCAAAGTATTTAGGACTGCTTATAGAAAATAGATTAAATAAAATGATCATAATGCTAAAAGTTACCTGTGATCAATTGTCATACATGTAGTACAGCCAACATTATCATGATTCTGACAGTACATATCAATGTGTTTATGACTGTGTCTGTCACATCTCTCTGCTGGTGCCCTCGGTAGACCTTTACTGGTTCCTGACTTAACTTGAGATTTATCCAACACCTTGTGACCAGCTAATACAGGCACTTGACTGTGAATCTTTACACAATTTATGCAGAAATAATCATGGCAGTCTACACAGAATTTTTCACCTTCAGTGTTTTTACCTTTATTTTTTTTACACATTGAACATAATACATCAAATATTTCATCAGAAAGAATATCCGTATTTATTTTTCCACCGGTAGCCATTTTGTTGAAAATCTTGTTGAAACCTGTTTACTCAGTTGATCTATACAGCGTCTAAATATAGATATAGCTTGTCCTTATATCTTATTGCAGTTATTTCATAGTCATTTTGAAAATATTTTTTGTTGTGAAATTTTTATTCCAATCTTTACATTTCCTTTGTCTCAAATACTGCTTTCTCAACAAAATTAATTAAACCTTTCCTATCTTATACAAATAAACTCTCAGAAGTTGAACCTTTGTAGAAATAACATTACTGTTATGAATGTAGTAACCAAAACATACCATATCTCTCACAATGCATTCACCACTTAAAAATATTGATCTCAAATTATTGATCTGGTGTGCTTATTCAACCAATAATTGTTAAACTTTATGAAAATGTAAGTCTCAAACATTTGCTAATTATTGTGAAATATTTGGACTAGGAAGTGATTAAACAAGAAAAATATTACATACATTCAAACGTAATATAGGTATGATTGCATTCTAACTTCTGTGAAGACGTTTTATGCTTGCTGCATGAAAGGTGTTATGTAAAGTGAACAAACTTGTCATCAGATATTTTATATCTTTCATGGAATGCAATAAATGGATTTATTTGTAATATAAATCCGTGAATAAATGTATCATAATATTAAAGTTGTATGTCTTCAGATGAGAGAAATGATTTCAAGAAAAGAACAATGCACAACCAATTTACTGCACAAAATTACACATCTTCCACTGAACAGACCATATGAAGTTTGATAAACAAGATCAGCAAGGAAGAAAATCTTGCAAACCCACAGAAATAGAAATATAAACAATAAAAACCTGTTTTTGATCGAGTATTTCTTTGTTTTCTGAACTCGTAAATCTGGTCACCAGTTTATAAAAAAAAACATAGCTATATAAGATGGACACAATATTTTTTCTTTCTTTTTTTTTATCTTTCAGAGCATTAAAAACCATTCTAATATATTAAAGTTAGAATTTCATTAAAGATTTGAGAAATTATTATAATTATTAACAACAACAAAACATCATTATTTGTTATCGATTGATCCAATAAAACCCAAAAGATACAGTTTGTAAATATTTATAAAAAGGTATTTCCTATCCTAAACGAAGCGCCCATGTTAGCTATATCTATAATTCCCGCATTAAGCCTCGTTGGTGCTCGGGATAATCACTTGATACTGTAATGGCAGCCATCTTACAGTACGAAAATGCCTGGTCCTCATCAGACAGTGTCCTTTGCCAAAAATTTAATATGAAATTAATACTTGCAATTCAAAGTTTGTTTGCTATATATAGATTATCGATTTTGTAATTGCAAACCTTTTCTCTGCCCGACTATGTTGATGTTTTGTCATCACGTGATCAATACACTGTAGCAGGAGAGGGCTACTTTAATCAGACATATAACAATTTTATTTACAAATAGTTTGATAAACAATCCCAGAATCATTTAAAATAATTGAAATCATCGAAAAATAATAAATGCATATAAATTGTAAATTTCTGTAATATCACAACTCACCCTCTAAACAAAACATAATAGACTCAACCAAAACAAGCGTCTGCTTCATTACCTAATTATGTAGTTGCATGACCATGATTTGCAACCAAATTTTAGAGCTAAAGCTATGACCACAGCAGATTCCGTACAGAAAAGTAAATAATTGTATTGTCATATGAACAGAATTTTTATATTTTCATGTCTTATTTTTTTTATTAGCCTCAAATGAAACAGAATACCCAAAAATAATGATCTGTCTTATTTATTTTTTAGCTCACCTGAGCTAACTTGGTCAGGATACTTGTCTAGGTAATTGCTCTGATGAGTTTGAACATGGATCATCTCAGATGAAAAACTGGGTCACGGGAGATAAAAATAGAAAATCTTTTTAACACTCTAGTGGCTTATGTTTTCATCCAAATATCCTGGACATTGGTCTGAAAGTTTGTTTTGATGATTTCTAGGTCAGGTTTGAATATGGGTCAACTGGAGTCAAAAACTAGGTCACACCACCCTAATATTATCACTCTAGTGGTCACATTTTTGACTCAATCATCATCAGACTTGGACAGGATGCTTGTCTAGGTAATTGCTCTTTTTGCTTGCATGACTTCGAACATGGGTCATCTCGTATTAAGAACAAGGTCAAAAGAGCTAAATAAAGAAAAATCTTGATATCACTCTAGTGCCTACTGTTTAGTTCTAATCATCCTAGAAATTGGTTTGAAAGTTTCTTTTGATGATTTCTAGGTCAGGTTTGAATATGGGTCACCTGGGGTCAAAAACTAGGTCACTGCCAGAATATGGAAAAACCTTGTTAACACATTTTTGAGGCCCATTTTTTACTCAACTGTCATGAAACTTGGTCAGAATGCTTGTCCGGGTAATTGCTTAAATGAGTTTGATGGGTCAGGTGAGCGTTCTAGGGCCATCTTGGCCCTCTTGTTTCAATAAATAGTTTTCAATATTTACTATACATAAGCCCTTGGCAAAACTGTCAGCCAGGGGAGGTAATACATGCTATGTGCAAGGGGTTTAAAAACATTATCTTATAAATAATATGAAAACAGTGATATAAACTTATATTTTTAAAGCTGTTTTTCAAAAACTTCTCTATTGATAGTCTTACCATATCAGTGTTTTCTCCTTTAAACCTCACATTGTTTTATACAATTTAATATAATGTGAAGTTAAATTGGTTTGACTTATAAAAGGAAGGCCAATAAAGCTGGAAAGTAGCCATAAATTACATTGTCTGCATGTCACTGAAACCCCAACCAGAAAAAAAAGAAAAAAAACAGATTATACCATTATTTGATTATTAACCACTGTATTTTCATCCGCAGGTTTTTACCGGAGGTATTTCTAACCAGTTGTACGGTTACTATCAGGAGGGTAAATTTAAGGAAGATGTAATTCTGGTGAGGATTTATGGTCAAGGAACAGAGCTTATGATAGACAGAGATGTTGAAAAACAAAATATACAGGTAAACTTAGGTGCTTTCTCAATAAAGGATACTTTCGGAAACCTTTGGTTGTCCTTATATGTAAAAAGATTTGTTATTCAACATTTAACATTGCCTTTAGAACCTGCCACAAACAGGCTATTATAGACAGGAGTCTTATTGTATCATTTTTTTTGTATGATCTACAGCCTAACTTATAAACCAACATATATTTTTCTAGCTTCTAAGTGCAGCCGGAAGAAGCCCACCTCTTTATGCTTCATTTGACAATGGCATAGCATATGGTTTTATTCAGGGTTGTACCCTTGATGAGAAAACTATACGTGATGAAAAGATCAGGAAGTAAGCCTTATATATCTCAACTAATTCATAATTGTTATTTTATATTTTGATTTAATGTTTATATATAGTTTGACATTAATTAGAAAAGGCAAGCTTATTTCAGAAATAATCGTTTTATATCTTAATTAATATACAAGAATTGAAATGAATTGAAATGAAAGCTGCATTGCATATACATTCAATGTTATATGTCTCTAAGCCTTGGTTTCTGTCAGTCAATTTTTTATGTGTTTCTGTTTGGGATATCGACATGATATTATCAAAAACACAAACGAGTATGAAATAGCGCGTATGTTAGGAAATAACCAAAAATATCAACACCCGAATCCAAGGCTATATGGCTCTGTGCATGAAAGACCTGTCAGCAGATATGAATAATCTTAATCTGCTAAAAGCAAAAATGATCAGCCTTTGTCACCAGTATAGAGCCAGGCCACTCTGCCAATCTGTTCAGTCTGACGAGGCTCTATGTGGTCGATATAAGCCGAAAACTGTCCAATATTTAAAATATTGAATTTCATGAGGCGCCAAAGGGAATTCAATATTTTAATTATTGGTCAGTTTGAGGCTTATATCTTACTTAAATTACTACTTTTGCTGTCAAATATCATGTTATCTATCAAAGCATTAGAAATAATGCATTTTTGTGTTAGAAATCTACAATTTAAATGTTTTAGAAATTATCTTTTTACTTGCAAATACCTTATAGGTAGCCTCTTGAATAATTAGATGTCTGTAGCATGAAATTTTCGTGTTGTGAAATATGACCAATGAACACGATGATATACACAAATTATACCACTTACACAAAAGGTTGGACTTACAAACATCCAGTATACTACAATTTATATTTGGGATTTTTATCCCCCAAAAAAGTAAAATATAAAGTTTTCAAATTTGTGATAAATCTCTGATATTTTGAATGATTGGCTGAGACTATTAAATTAATATCCTTTAATGAGGATTTATACTGATTATTTAGTGTTTAATGATATTTTGTATGGTTTCTCAATTGAGATTTTATTTTACTTTACCTGTTTATTACAACTATCACCAATTCACAGATGTAAGATATTGTGTAAACTTTTGTTATTGTGAATTTTGGATATTTACGCAACAAAATGATACTTTCTTATTTTTGATTATTTTTGATTTGATATTTGTCATACCACAAGAGTCTGAAATGTTTCTATATGAAAATTAAACATATACAATGTATTTAGTCAAATATGAACGCTTCTGTTTATTTAATTTCTCTGTTACGTTTATTTGAAAAGTTGAAATATCTGAAACATTACGTACATACAATGAAGCAAATCAGGTATAATTGTAAAATAAATGTATGTACATGTATAAAAACGAGAAAGAAAAAAGGGAAAGTTAGGCAAGAAATTAAACCATTTGAATAATGCCATCAAAATTATATCCTTACTGACGCCCCGCTTCCTTTCTCGTAAGCGTAAACAATGATATGACTTTAAGAGCTTGGAATTTAAAACCAGTAGTCTGGAAGATAGTAAAACTTTTTCAAATTTCGTTTTGTAAATTTCAAAAGGACTTGACAGCATTTGAGGAAATATGAACACTTTTTTACTAGCAACTTTATTAATAACATACAACGCATAAAAGAAATCGAGAAATGTTTGTTTATAGATATATTAACTATTTAGCGAGTGGACTTGCTATTATAATATGATATAAAGAAACTATTAACATATCCTTGGCATAACAAATACAGCACATAAAATAATATAATATAGAATGAATACAACTTTTATAAAAAAAGATTGCCTTATTGCAAGAAAGAGCACATTTTTAACTTTCTATGTAGTAACTTTTTAGAAGACGAATTATGAGATATTATATACACCGTATATTTTTCTGCTTTTTTTGTTACACTTCATGTTTTACATTCAATATTTCATTAAGGTTGTTACAATCATCATGATTATATGCTTGTTTGTATTCATTTTCATAATTAATCAGATATCATATACTTCAATATTGTTTTCATTTTTTCTGCTTATACACATCTTACACATTTGTTGATTACAGCAAACTGACCAAATTTCTGATTTTTCACTGTCAGCTTTTATGACCTCTTCTATCAGCTCACCATCAGATGTAAACTGTAAAACATTTCTAGATCTATATCCAGAAAACAGCACACTTCCTGCTTCAGTGAGATGACAAGAAGCAACCCACTGTATTTTTCCCCATTAAACGTTGTAACAATCTGACCATTGTTGTCCAGTACTATCAGTCCTTTATTACCATCAGCAACATATATCCTTGTAGTATCCTTACTGACTGCTAGTTTCTGTCCTGACTTATCAATATTAAACTGTTTAAGTTTCCTGACAGACATTGTGTAGATATAAACTGATCTGATATCTGAAATATATAAATGATTGTTTGCATATGCAAGACCACGACAGTCAAAATCAGTTTTAATCTTGTTTGTTGTTTTCATTCGTCTGCAGAAATGAAAAGAATTCACATGAACAAACAATTCAGCTTGAATTGAGTTTGGAGATGCTTATTTACCATTAGCAGATGTAAACTTTGCTTTGTGTGCTTGTAGCTGTTTGAGACCTTTTTCAATCTTGTCTTCAAGAAGTTTGAATTTATTTTCTATTTCATCTACAGAACTTTTCTGCAGCTTGTCAAGTTGGTCATTAATTTATTGTCGGAATTTACTGATTACATCCATTCAGCCTTTCTTTTCAGAAGGTTCTGTTTATCCTGTTGAAATTTGTTAGCTTGTGCAGCAAAGATCTTGGCTAATGCCTTCAGCTTTGTTTGAACTTCTATTGAAGCCACTTGGTTAGATTTGTTTTGGATAAATTCTGGTATGTAGCATATATCTTTACATGATATATCATTTAGTTTGGAGCAGAGTGATAGGGTAAATATATTAGCCTCTACCTGACTTAAAGATTTTTATATTAACCACTATCTAACTTAAAGAATGACTTATTTCAATTACCTGACAAAATGATTAACAATCCAATGCCATTCCAGGAATTCTTTTTCTCAAAATTTAAAAATTGACTGGCCATCAGTTCTTGGTCAATGATCAACTGACGGAAAAAAATCACTAAACAGGAAATCTCAAACATTTAAATGTATACAATGCTCAAATTCGATATAAGAAAATATTTATAATTGCTACACAGTTAATTTTAGATAATAAATAAATATGACTTTACGTCATACGAAGAAGAAATATTTTTTAAACTGTACACACTAAAAAACATTCTTTTTAAGAACAGACCAGCTTGACCCCTCTGTGTTCCTTCAAGTATTTTTCATGTCTGTATTGTTGCCCATTTTTTAATGTTTACATGTTTTGTGATGTCTGTGTTGTTGGATTGACGTTGACGGTAGGTATTTTCTCAATCCCCCCTCTCCCATTTTTACCCCCCCCCCCACCTTTTCACCCTTTCAGCCCTTATCCATTTAATTCCCTTATGGGCCCGTTATAGTTTATATTATTTCACATTACATTTCCCACTCCTTTCACCCTTTTGTCCACTCCAGTCCTGTGAACGTTGCCTTTGCCTTGTTGATCTTTATTCTTGTTTTTTACTTGATCTGTAATAGGGAACGCAGCTTCCCATACAAAGTTTATTCATTCTTTTATTCAAATTAGACATATTCAGTAAGAATTTTATAGATTTCAATAAATTACCATGATTGAAATATTTTACCCAAGGATAAGCATAGTACTTCTTATAGTTAATGAATAAAGTGAATCATTATGCTTTAAGTTACCTGTAATCAATTGCCATACATGTACATATCAATGTGTTTATGACTGTATCTGTCACATCTCTCTGCTGGTGCCCTTGGTAGACCTTTACTGGTATTGACTTAAGCTGAGATTTCTCCAACACCTTGTGACCAGCTAATACAGGCACTTGATTGTGAATTTTTACACATTTTATGCAGAAATAATCGTGACTGTTCAGACAGAATTTTTCACCTTCTGTTTTTACCTCGATTTTTACACATTGAACAAAGTACATCAAATATTTCATCAGAAAGAATATCCGTATCTATTTCTCTACCGGTAGCCATTTTGTAGAATATCTTGTTAAAACCGATTTACTTCATTGATCTATGCAAAGTTTATACATAGATATTGCTTGTCTTAATTTCTTTCTTTTTTTCAGACCTATTTCATAGTCATTTAGAAAACAGTATTTCATTTATGAATAAGTTAACCGTAAATAGGTCTAGTTTAATATATATATAATATGATCAACAAGATCAACAAGGAAAGGCGGCGTTCAATGAACGCAACACCTGCCATGAATGATATAAAAGTTAAGATATTGATTTTACATTATTAATGATTCAAAGTGCTTCTGCAATGAATCTCTATGAAACTATATAAAAATTTAAATTTAAATCTCCGATATATGTTTATTTTTGTAAATATTTGAACCAGGAAGTATTTTGAAAAGTAAATAATTTTATTGTCATATAAACAGATTTTTTATATTTAAATAGGACACAATCCTCATAAATTGCCTAAAATGAATCAAAATATGCAAAACTAATAACCTCTCCTACTTTTTTTACAATAAATATTTCCCAGTTTTTAAAATATGCAACTCCCTTGCCAAAACTGGCATCCAGGGGAGGTAATTCATACTTTGTCAAAAATGTCTTTAAAATTATATCTTATAAACAATATGAGAACAATGATATAGATTGACCTCTGCACGCGTATGTTTTAAAGCAATTTTACAGAGACTTCTAAGGATATACATCCCATAACCTGATGTTTTCATCATTTCAGTGTTCTCTTCGTTAAATTTTATATTGTTTTGTACAACTCAATATGATTGTTTAATTCTGTACAGCTGCTATTGTATCTACTTACACAGACTATACTGACATTTGCACACCAACACATGGCCCAAGGACTTTCTATATCCTCCAGTACAATTTTGCTGTCTTGACAGTCACCGCTTACTTTTATTATGCTGTGTCTTTTGTAATCACTGACTAAGAATGATCCATCATCTAACAATGCAATACCACTTGGCCATTTGATTCCGCCATACTTTCTTATGACTTTTCCCTGCCAGTCTAAACATAATATCGCACTCTTGTCCCTGTCAGATACATAGATTGACTTGTTATCAGTTGTGACATAACTAGGATGACTAAAAATGTTGTCGCCATGGGAATCTGTTGCAAGTTTTATTTGTACAGTACCTTCCAAATCCATGATAAGAAGGCTGCCCTGTAATGGAAAGGCTACGGCAAGTTTTCCTTGATGATGACTGATACCAAAACACTGCCCTTCTACTCTCAGTTTGTTTCTTGGTGACACCGAATTTGAGGAGAAGGAAAGGAATTGTATTGTATGGCTTCGTGGTAATGTAACAGCAAGTGTATCCCCAGTGATTATTGTGATATCACATGGCTTCGACTCAACCAGTAGTTGTTGAATAACTCCACTTTTGATGTCAATCATTTTGATTGACTTGTTGATGAAATCTGCTACAAATATTTGATTTTGAGTAGGAGAGAATGTTATACCAGTAATTCTGCAATCGCTTTCATCTGATGGTGTTTTGACATTGATGTATTTAGGATCTGATATTTCAATTTCTACCATAGCCTGGTTAATTGGTTTGGCTGATTGCATATGTTTCTTACTTCTGATTGTTCCTAATGATTTCTCATTCTGAAGGAGTGTTTTGATCGGTTGATTTGGTTCAAATTTGTATTCACCAATGTCTATGGCTGCTGGAAGCTGTAAGATCTTTTGTTTATTGTCAAGAATCAGTTGCTGAGCTATCTTTAATTCAATAAAGAGTTGGTCAACTTTCTTGTCTGTGTACAGATCCCAAAGTGTATCTGCTGATGATTGAAGAGATTTGTTGATGTCATCACATGTTGTTTCTGTAGTTTGCAACTTTTTATTGTTGTCATTTTGGAGTGTTGATGCAATATCTTTAACTTCTCTTTCTAGTTCATCTAATGTTGTGTTGATGTCTTTTCTGAAGTTAGCTATATCTGATTCTGCATCTTTCAAAGAAGTTGTTGATTTAGCAACGCTTTGTTTTAGATTATCTACAGCCTTGATGCACTTGTCTTGCATATTGGCAAGGTCTTTCAGAGTTTCATTTAACTCAGTGCTGTTTAAAGTCTGTCCTGATATATCGGGTATGTAGTCCACATGGCAAGATGTGGACACATGTTCTAGTGCAACACATACACTGCAAACCAGTGCACTATGGTCATGACAATACAGTTTGATCACTTCTTTAATGTGTTTAGCACAATAATTTGAAAACTCATCAGCCTGTTCACCTGACTTTGATAATTTCTGAAGAGTTTCCTGAAGTGACATGTTTGGATTGTCTATAAGTTGATGATGCTGAAGTGGTTTTGGTCTTCTATGAGTGCTATAACATGATTGGCATAAATGTTCCTTACAATCCAAACAGTATCCAAAGGCTGGTGTTCTAAAATCAGCTCTGTCACAAGGCTCACAAAAAACTTCAAAATCTTCAGCACTACCTTTCCTAAGGATGGATGTTAATTTCTGATATGCCTTTTTAGCCATTATTAATCTGGAAAAAACAAATAGAATACGTGCAAAAGAGCTAAAATATTTTTCTAAACTTTCAAGTTGTATAATTTTCATTTTTAACTGAAAATATTAGGTGCCGCTTAAATTTTTTGGATAACCAATATGTAAATGTTAAATGTATGAAATATCAAACGTATTAAAAACATAAATAACTTACGTGTGAACTGTCAGTAGGACTCTGTAAAAGTGCAAAATTTAGTTTCTTGTTAGGTGGATATATTCTCTATCATGCGTAAATATGAATGTATAGATTTCAACATTGAAAAACAATCTTTAAAATGCGTAGCTATTCGTAGACAACAAAAATATGTAATGAAAATTGATATACCAGGTAGTTAAATATTGAAAGGCGTTTGATCGAGTTACATAAATTTGTATTTAACAAATACAACAAAATAAAACATTATGAAATGTACCTTACTTTGAGATATATTCAAGTCTGCATATTTTCTCCCTTTTATACCGACATGTAGTATAGTAAACTCCGCTTATAACGAACTCACTGGGACATTCAAAACCTGTTCCTTATATCTGGAGTTCCTTGTAAGCATATAGCGAATTAGTTCCTTGTATCGGGAGTTTTTTTTATAGCAAATAGATTTACATATAACGAACTGATTGTTTACCATTGACCGCCATTTTTGAAGAGCATTTGATTAAGAAATAGAAATATTAGTCATTTATTTATATTTTAGACACAATACCCGAGAGCGTACTTTTTGGAATTTGAAAATCATTGCTATTTCAGTTTTAGTTTTACTCAATATCACATAAAATATAATATTTTGTTTCTAAACTCTTTACGTTTTCTTACCATGATTTAGAATAAACAAGATTTTCGATTTTTCCTTCCTTTTATATTGAATAACGTATCCTCTTTTATAATTTAAGGGTGACTTGTAAGATATAGATTTCTTTTCATTTAAATCAAGCGTACTTTGCAGTTTGCAATGGATCTTGCTTGCCAGCATGCATGATTATGTTGAAAAACGATTTTAAATTATTATGATTATTTTACTCGAGCAAAACTATTGAAGAAAATAAATAAATAACCGTTTTATCTTGGTGAAAAGAGCTCATGCTAAAAATATCCTAAATAGAAAACTATACAAATTCATTTGAATAGATGTATTGAAGTACATACAGCGATAAACGGTACATTCGCGTGCGAATGAAAACGAAAGTTGAAAATGCGGGATCTATTTACGAATAGCCAATATTTGGAGTTCGTTATAAAAGTGTTATTTTCTGTACTATTAACTAAATTGGGACTAAGAAAGAGTTCCTTATAAGCGATAATTCCTTATAACCGTGTTCGCTATAACCATATATTTTATATTAAATAAAGAAGGGCAAAATTCGGGCCAAAATAAATTGTTCCCTATAACCGGAAGTTCGCTATAACCGTGTTCGCTATAAGTGAAGTTTACTGTAGTTTATTTTGCATATGAACAATAACTTCATCAAAACCTGTAATAGGAATAGAAATTTACAAGGAGTATGCAAGGGAGGTAACTTTCCTATAACAGAAGGCATTTTAGCTCCAGTTTCAAAAGAAAGAAATGTAGATGTTGTCACGATTCACTCTTCAGTGTTAACCTTTTCGTTAAGGTCCATTTTCTTAGTAAACATTTTTGGGGGGTTAAGGTCAATTTCTCAACTACTAATGCTTTTCATTTCAAACTCGGAATACCTGTAAAATTTAAGGTAAAGTTTTATAAATGATAGCCGATATTTATGATTGATAATTTACGAGCGAATAAATATTGTCAACATTAGATAGGGTTTATATTATGTTAAAGTTTGAACATTTACAGCTATTTGAGTATTTACGTTTTAACGGTGTCTAAGTTTGTATAAATATATACCTTGGTTGTTATATTTTAACCAACAAAAATATCCCAAAGCATAGTTAACTGTTATAGAATTCATTTAAACTTGATAATCATATATGTGAATTAATAGAAACATTTGAGAGGGAAAATACTAGGGGGTCACTAGTTCTAGTTATCTGCATTTAGTTGTTATAATTACAACTCGAAAACAAATGTTTATTTAAACTATTGGTTAGTGTTTTTTTGGTTTTTCTTTGTTTTTGTTTTTGTTTTTTTTGTTTTTTTGTTGTTGTTTTTTTGTTTTTTTTCACTTTGTTCCTGGTCATGGTACAAATTCTATTGAATTCTTTTTAACAGTCTTTTCAGTTTAAATAAAAAGGAATTCTTTTATAAAGACCATTTCAATAAAAATTGGATAGGTTTAGTGTAATGGCATTTATGCTTCAGAAATAAATAATTTTTTACTTCTTAATAAAGGGCAAACATGAATTTTATGATGTTAATATAATTGTTTTAGAGAATAAACCTGATTTTTACCTGAAGAAAGTAGCGATAATGTAAAACAACTTGTCAATTTGAAATGTAAATAAGGTAATATGTTGACTTCCATACAAATTACTATTTCATCATACCGTAAAATGTTTACAGGCATGTATCATCTCATCACATGGGTATTAAGGAAGAAAGTTGTTTGAGTATTTACGCTGTATGTAGATAATATTTAGTACAACAAATAAAGAATATTAAGTATAAAGTAGTATAAATTTGAAACAAAAAATTGTTAATCTTGTAATGGATATATTGCATCTTTCTGAAATAAAAACATCTAGATTGTAATATCTGACTAAAAGAGAATTTATTTTAGTCATGAGATATGTGTGTATATAATTTATTTTATTAAAATAAAGAAAACTCTTGGAAGGTTACATTAAACGTAACGTCAATACAGACAATTATTGGCTTATTTCGTGTTTGGAGAAATTGGATTCTGCTGAAATAAATAATAGTTTAACAGTACGAGTATATTCTTAATTCGAAAGTGGTTATTAACGAAGCATATGCTTTCCTGAAACAAACTAGCAATTGTACAACTGCATATTGTATGTGCCTAATTTGAGAGAAATTTTAACATAATATATATAAGGTCTTGAATGTAACAGTATATTCTTAATTCGAAAGTAATGTTATTAACGAAGCATATGCTTTCCTGAAACAAACTAACAAATGTACAACTGCATAGTGTATGTGCCTAATTTGAGAGAAATTTTAACATGTATAAGATCCTGAATTATTTTAACGTCCAAGTTAAGTCATTTCTAATGTGTGTGATGGCACATTTTAAATAGAAGTTCATTACAAGTCATTATGATATCTATAACTAGTTTAGTACCTTAACAATGTCATGTCATATGAACTATAGTTTTAAAGCATTTCAATAACAAATGCAATGTTAACATTTGACATTAAGTGTATATTTTTTCACGAACATACTTACTACTTTATACCCCAGTATAATGTTGTTTCTGTTTATGTAGTTATCTAAAAAGGGTTCATTCAAATATTTTGTTTTGTAAAGCACCTTAATATTTCAGATATAAAATGCCATAATTATGTTTGACACTTGACCTTGTTCTTTTTGAAATTCCCCTGAAATCTTCACTTGGAAAATTATGCAGGAACGGTAATTAACCTTACTTGCTAAACATATCTTCTTAAATTAATGGGATTAATGCTTAGTAATTTTGATTCACAATTTTAAAGTACTTTAAGTAATGTGTAGTTCGTTGATAAAATTTTAAACTCTTATGCCATCTATTTATCCAATTGGATTTAAGGCAGTTATGAAAAATTTGAGATGATTTTTCAGTTATCTTCAAACTTTTAGAAATGTTTTTGAGTGAGTGTTTCGTTTGATAAAGAATTGTTCAAACTATGTAATAGCCTTCACTCTTACATAAATGATAATGCTTAAGAATTGATTCAAAATGATCGAAATTTATGTTATCGTTTAAAGGTGAGTGATCATCATATTTCCGTACTAATTTTTATATTTAATCGCGTAGAAAAAACTAAAGTAAGTTTATTTTTCATAATTTAAGCATTAAATCATCGGTAATTGCGCTTAGTATTACCCTTATAAAGTCCGGTATCATACAGATGTAAGAGTTGCTAACCGTAACGCAGTTGCTATCTCAAACCGGAAGTGACGTACATATATCCCTATGTAAATTGCTGATAGTTCATGATAACTATTTTTAGTTGTGTTTCTTGTAATATGATTTGAATTAACTTACATTATGTGTATCGTATGAACAATATAAAAATTAGTTGATGACGATCAATTTGTAGTTCGTCATTATATGTTTGAACAACAGTCACCAACAAAATCACTTTTTACCTCCAAAAACGACAATAAACTCGACGATCCTAGCCCTTGTATGGTGTTCAACCTATGAAGTGAGTTGATTTAACGAAAAATAAACACTACTTACATGTTTATGACATGAAAATAAAACTTTACTCCTACAAGAAAAAAATATTTCAAAACAAAAACAGCTTCCTTTGATTTATCGAACATAACACTTTTATAGAAGTGTCAATGCTCTCTTTTTAGTCATAATTACGTACATGTAAGTAAGTCTTCGTACTCCCGGTGTTTTTATCATACTAGACAGACTAACTAAACATTGGTAACATTAATGAATAAACATTAGAATAGATCTGAAATATTATGATTTTGATTGGGTATTTACCTGAAATTTCATTGACCATATGACAGTCAGTATTCAATAAAGTTTGGCGGGGTTTTGTCAGTGCAGTTCTAATTGTATTGAAAAAAGGAATTATCCTTCGGATGATAACTATTGGATTGCATAAATGACTGGAAGGTCTGATTGTCCCATTAACTATGTTGACACCACCGGACTATATTAAAAAACATAACCATCTTAGGTCATAAACAACGTAACATATTACGCTACAGGAGGTCAGCGTTTTTTGTTCACAAAGATTAATTCAGTTTTATTACGCTTTATGATGGGGCTTTATCATAGCGGCATAATTATACTTTATAGTCACTGTGGTAAAGACACACAAAAAACACGATTTGAAAGATAAACCATAAAGAAAGAAAAAGAATACAAGTCTGTAAGTTTATCGAAATAGAGGATATTGATCAGTTCAAAGTGAATACATGTAGTTCATATATAATATACTTTGGTTTGAGTGTATAAGGTTCTAAGTATTATGGACGTCAAACCTTACTTGTGATAATGTCACGTTATTGAACTGTTTACTTATTAGGGGATATAGTGTGTAAGCGGCCGCATAGCTCAGTCGATATTCCGAAGGTCCCTGGTTCGTGTTCCGGTAAGGTTGCACATTTCACTTATTCTGTGACATATGGCGCCTAACGCGGGGACCTTGATGGTATAAAGCTTCGAGTACAATTTTACATTTTTCTCTTTACCCATTAGAAAATTCAAGGACAAATTTCTATAGAGTGTATGTCACAGTATTGAACTGTTTATTTCTTAAGGGAGATAGGGTGTAAGCGGCCGCCTAGTTCTGCCCATAGAGTCGCTTGAAGGTATTTCGAGGGTACCGGGTTCAAGTGTCGATGAGGCTGAATATTTTTCCCACCCTGCAACAATGATTCTTCACTCTTAGATTAATGAACTGATTCAAAATTATCTCAATTAAGAGTATGATATCGACAATATATTATTTTATTTAGTCTATACCTTCTATCTGTTCACAAAGAATAAAGTTCAAAGTTCTTATTTGTCTAGACAATTTTGTTATTTTCTTTGGAAGTAGTCAAAAAGCTCATTTTTATGATTTACTGACAAATCTTAACAATGATGTTGGCTTAGCTAACAAAAGCACAAATTGTTAAGTCTATACTTTTTAACCAATACTTCATAGAACTTTTAACTCTTGATTCAACTTTATTTAACTTTTAGTTATAATTAGACATCGTTTGTTGAAATGTTTTTGCGATATTTACAGATGAGTCAAAAAACACATTAAAAAAAATGCAAAAAATAAAAAGATATAACTGAACAGTATTACACAAAAACGAACATGAGAAGATATCATATACATTGCGTGGCACCAATTATATTTCTCATTCTAAGAAGTAATGAATTTATCATTACAAGATAGATAGGATAGTATAATCAGTGCATTGCCTTAAGCCTTTACTTTATATAGACGTGTTTGGACGACTTTTTGCCCCCATCCCCTTTTTGAGGCCTCAAGCAGTGAAAACAATGCCCTGTTTAGGCCCCAAACACCGTATTTCGTTTGAGAAAACGTGATAAAGAAGTGATCACTTTTTCGGCGCCGCCCCCTAACAAAAAAAGGACATCAAGGGGTTCTAGAAGTGGGATGTGCTCTCTTCTGTTTCAGGAGGGGGGCAGCCATTCTCATCGCCAAGAAAATTTCGGACATGTGACAGGCTAAGAATGGCCCAAGGCCGATCGTAAGGTAACGTGTAACCAACGCTGAAAAGCCTTTGACTCTATCTCAATCCATTGAGAAGTTGCAGCACTTTGAAATCAGTTTTGATGGAAAAAATCAATGCAAAATAGTGATTTTGGCAATTTTGAGACGATCCCCCGCTGCCATGATACCAGGAAATATAAGATTGAGCATGCTGTAACAGAAGCTATGGACCAAGTTCCATCAGTATTGAAGCATTTTTCATAGCTTCATAGCCGTTTGAACAGGAAGCTTTTCAATGAAAACGGCCATTTTTCACAATATGCTCATGAGGAAAAGGGTTAACGGGGGCAAAGAGGCGTGATTATTTTCTTGTTTCGTAATGATAATTATTATTTAAAATGTAGTAAAATCAAAAGATTTTACTTCAGATGCAACAGTTATTGTACGCTTTACCAGCGTAAATAATTTTAAATGATTTACTGTCTAATATATTCTTGGTAGGAAACAGTTTTTGCTTCAATTTGTCAACTAAATATCGAGTCTAGATCTTATACTACCTCATGTGTCCGACGTTTTTGTCTTATGTGACAGCGGGATTAACAGCGGGAGTGGAATAAATAATCATCCTGAGAGCTGATTTGTTATTCTTAATTGTATGGTTCATTTCTTTTTTCATTAAGCAACTAAACTAAACTGTTGTGACAATATTCTTTTGTACATAGCAATAGTTTTAGATAAATTTTATTTGCTGTCTTACATTTTGCTTTTTAACTTAAATTTCGGACAGGATAGATAAACATATGACTTGATCTGATTCACAGAAAACTAATTTGTATTAACAGATTGCAAAATGATTTCAAATATATCAGTTAAGTTAAGGCCTCAACAGACGGTAGGATTTTGAAGTACAACACCAATTAAAACTAAGATGTACAGGCAAATCTTAATGTGTGAAGGCTACTATTTCTTGAATTCGGAAACCTTAAGTCTAGATGTAAGGGATAGGACATGTTCTATTTTGAAAATCTTGTCGTACAGATTTCTACAGACCTCCCACAATGACAAGTAACAGATTACCAAATTATTTCCTGATAATGGGTGTAATGAATGAAATTCCAGAACAATTACTACGAATTAGGGCTAAAAGGTAAACATAGTAGTAAGATGGGGTAAAAATGATGTTGAAAAAAACTCTTTAAGAGACCCAAAGTTGTGTTATGTTCAAATCCCAAATTATTCCGAAAATGATTATGTCACGGTATTGAACTGTTCTCTAATTAGTGGAGGGGAGGTAATGTGTAAGCGACCGGATAGCTTAGTCAGTAGAGCTGCAGTACGGTATTCCGAGGGTCCCAGGTTTGAGTCTCGGTCATGCTTCACATTAAAAAAAAATATTTTTTTTAAAAGGAGGTGTTTCAATCATTACTCATGGTGCAAAAAGGATTTAGTGAGTAAAGTATGTAAAGGATTAATGTAAAGGGATCCTTTTTAGGGAAAACTCAAAGGAGTCCTACAGTGTAGAATTACCGTCTGAATGCAAGTGTTGTATTGCTTTGAAAATTGTACATCTTATCACTAATTAGTGCTGTACAACTAAATCCTACCGTCTGTTGAGGCCTTTACTTTGTCTTGCTTATTTTTACTTTTAGCTTTTTAGATTTCGTAAATCCAAAAACAGATAAAAAACAGTACATATCAGTTCTTTAATGCAGTTAAGTAAAGCTATAACAAACAAAATATACTATAAAACTCAAAAACGTTACAATCATGTGATAAAATTTTTGTCTAAACATGTTTCTGTTATTTGTTGCAAACGAATTTTTTACTTTTGATAATGACTGCATGAATAACTCTCAATAACCTTCCATATGTTCATATACTGCCAATAAAACAAAATGATCACAAGAAATTTAGCATCGCCGTGCATATGGATAATATAAACATCACGATGCTCCTGTATTATAAAGTAATAAGATTGTTTCTGTCAGCTGATAAAATTTCATATCTAATATGTACAAGATAAAAAGTTTACTTACACGTGGCTATTTGAATCAAGTTAATGTACTTGTACAAATTATTTGTATATGATTAATATATTTTACTAATATTCTGTATTAGGAGTACTCATTCTGAAAAGACATTTGTTTAAATGAAAATAAGAAGAAAAGCGTGACAAGTTAAAAAAAGAGGTACGTTATTTTTAATAACATTTATCACTTTTTAAGTTTATCAGTGAGTTTTAAAAATGCTTGGTTGCGAAAATTGCTCTCGCTAGATAAAATTAACCGTTTTGTAAAGAAAAGGCAAAATACTGTCAAACGATCTCTAAATTAATGACTGTTCAAAGCTGCTCATATTTTTGTCTAAATGAATAAGATATATCTCTTCATTAAAGTCTTTACTGTTACTCTACTTTGTGGTTACTACTTTGGTACTTACAGAAAATATATCAGGACGATACCTGAAATGGAAGTAGCAAAACAGTCGCGGTCTAAGACAAGCATTTTGACGAAGCTGGCCGACGACGTTAACTGTCTTTCGCTAGATGATTCGGCTACAACCAACTTTCAAGAATGCATTCAAAACATTTTGACAGTAAATTTTGAACAATTAAATAAAGAAGATGAAGTATGCCGTGATGCAAAATTCGACGTTTCAATCAAATCCTTGATGAGATTTTCAAAAGGGGTTATCAACTGTATTGGAACAACATCAAAAGTGTCTGGTCAACGGATGCTCGGGACTGTATGTAACGTCGCCACAACTGTAATTACATATTTCTTTGCTGAGCAGGACGTTTCTGCATTTCTGATGACACGTTTTGGTACTATTATGAATGAAGAGCTCAGATTAAAGTGTCTAGCATCTTGCATAAAGATAAAACACTGTATCAGCTATATGCAAGGTTTACCTAATCCAAACAAACTCGGACCAGATGATAAAAAGATGCATCTTCTACTTATGGCAGCCGATGTTCCAGTTCAAACAGGACTTGATGAACTATTATATCTGGGTGAAAAAATAAGAAAATTAGTAAAATCAGCAATACATGATATGAACAACTTTGAAGATTTGATGAGAAATGTTGAATTATATTGTTGCCTAGCCACTTTTCGGGAACTATTTCTTCTATACCGCTTTAGTTTTCAGTCCATGTTAGAAGTGAACGCCGAGTCTGTCAGGAATGTTATTGATGCACAACAGGAAAATGATCAGTCTGTTCTCGAGTTTTTATACAAACCTACAATGGAAAATGTGAAATTGTTCTACGAAGTACTACAAGGTGACTGGCCATTATCAAGGGCATTCTGTGAAAGGCGTGGTCTTTTGGTAGAAGATTTGGTGTTTTTAGATAGAGGAGTGTATACAATTGAGTCGGTTGCAGACAAAACAAAGCTATATACAATCAGCGACTCGTATTTACGTTCTGGAAAGGTCATTGATTGCGTTTTTATGGAGTCAAGTCGTAGGAAGGGAAGAAATGTCTTCTCTTTTCAGACCGAGTCAAATTTTGTTGGTGCGTCTGAAAGAGCGCGTCATCTTTGCTTAACAGAAACAAAAGAATTCTGGTATGTATTGAAAGTGCGTGGGAATACACCAATAGACAAAGAATGTTACATGATATGGTTAAAATCAGACATTAAGAAATGCTTGTGCCAAGAAAGGAAGGATTCTAGCTTCCTTGCCTTACCATTTGGTCAGCAGACAACATGTCTTTCAACGACAAAGGACATAAATTCAAGTTTTTTATGGACAATCGAATCCTTATGAATTAAAAAAATACCACATGTAAAGAAAGAAAATAAAGTTATTGGCTACGTGCCATCACATTTTAAATTGACATACATGTCTGCCTATAATATGAAAAATTTATCGACATAAATGTTTGAATTGCAGTTATGTAAAGATTATCTTCGGTTCATGCATGGTCTTATTATCAAAGCTATGTTGATATATTCTAATTAAGATAGTATTCTCATTTAAATATATATCAATATGTATAATGTAATGAATATTTGCTGAACGGATGATAAACCTGATTTGTTGACCTATTGTTTGATCTGTTTTGTTGAAATTCAAATAAATCAGTAAATTGAATACATGATAGATTTACGTTGTAGCGTTTGGTAGAAAAATACCCTACGAAAAAAAAAGTTAAACCCGAGGTCAGTTCTACTCACTGGGGTTGATTTTTTTAGCGGAGGCCAGCACAACTAGATATTTTCAATATTGTTGTGAATTTATCTGTTATTTTATTCGAGGTGAGCATTACTCAGTATTATTCTCCAAAAGTATACCTAATGAGTGATTACGTTCTATTTATAGAGAATTTTTAGTCGAAGTGTGCTCTTACCAAGTTACATACTATTTAGTGACTTATGGTCATGAACACATCCAATCTGACTAAAGTTTAGATCTACTTATTTCTTTTATTTGATGACGACCTATTTGTTTCACCTTCTTTGTAATTCAGATTTCCCGTGGAGGCTATTTTAGCCATGCAATTCAACAGGTTTTACATAGCATTAGAAGAAGTATAAAAAATACCATTATTCGTGGAAGTTAAACAAATTGTTGTCTTTTGTAAGGAAAAAAATGGTTGACGTAGTAATTAACACATTAACTTGAAATAATGAGAGTCAATTTTTAAAAGGGCAAGATTGTTTTGTTAGTTTACCTGTCGGCTATAAGGACAACGCCATGTTTGTTCTCGAATCAGGAAAATTACCTACGCAGTATTGGTATTCCCAGGTTTAAAATTAGAAATCACATCGCTTTCAAAATTAAGTTATCCGATGACTTGCTGTGCATAAATTATGGTGACCAGAAATGACTTAGTATTTGGTCACAGATAGATCTAAAAGTGGATCGTTATTTACAGCTGATTTTAATCAGTGTGGGACACATTTCGATTAGTTCTGTTCTTTATGAAAGCTTTTTTTTTCACAATAAAAGTGGTTCTTCTAGAAAAACGGAGAGGAAGAATAACCTGAAAATTTGCACACAAGTTCTTGTTATAAATCAAACTGTATAAAGGTTTCTTAAAATATGTCCAGTCCTGTACGTGATATCAAAACACCTCTTTGTACATACCTATAATATACATTCAAAATTGAACTCCTTGCAGTCATGATGCTTAATAGAATTAGGCAAATTGTATGTTTTGCAATTCCATTGAATTGAATTTTTTTCGATCTCACGTCCTGGTCTGATAGGAAGTGAAATAAATTGAGAAATTGAGGGAATTTAAATGAAAGTCAGTTGCTTTATAAAAGTAATGTACTTTTGACACATACATGTAATATAAATATATTTCTTGTAATTAAAATATAATATTGAATCAATTTATTACATGCTTTTCGGTGGTTTATAGAAATATATCAGTGATATAAAAACTGGTAATTTCACTGTTTGAAACAGTGAAAATACCACTTTGATAATTTCACTGTTTTGAATTTAAGCCCCTTACGTTGTTTCAGTGAAATACCAGCGTGCACAGTACTGGGTACCAACTTAATGACGTGACGTCGTAAATGACGTCACGTTGTATTATTATTTGGCGAGCTTTTATTCAGTATTAGGTTAAATGTCTTTTTAAAACGTTTCTCTGCATGTAATAAAAAGAAAATTTGTTTAGTTTGGTGTAAGATTGAAATATATTTCACCTTGTGATCACCAAAAGCTCATATTTCACTCGTAGCTGCGCCACTCGTGAAATATACATTTTGGTGCTCACTCAGTGAAATATATTCCTATCTTACACTGAACTAAACAAATATCCTCTATATATCTAACACGAACTGCATTTTCTCTATATTTTATACTAAACGCTAGTCTCACTGAACAATAATTAATGGTATTTATATGGGTTTTACACATATCTTATCCAATAATATTTGCTGGCTTTATGGATACAAATGTTGTCTCCTCGTAAAAATTCAGGGGGAAATTCCTGCTCAAGCGTTAACATTATTTGGAATGATTTGGGAATTGTTTCAAAGAGACTTTAAAAGCTATATCAAATAAAACTTGACATTGATTAAAGAGGTCTTGTTATTCATTTTTCTCTACAGCATCTCCTTAAAGACTGACTCTTGGGAATTAGAACTTAAATGTAATATTACATGTGATATCACTCTTATCCATTTAAAATGCATGTTTCATTGCTATTTTTGTCAACATGTCAACAAAATACTGCATTTATAAAACATTTCTGAAGCTAAACTTAAATTCACCACTTATTGTAACGTTACTGTGTTTTGCATTGTTGTTATTTTAATTTGACCTAGTCTCTGTCTTGGTTTACAAGCTGCATTCCGTGATCCTTTCTCCCTTGAGAAAGTTTACTCTCATATTTGAAATGTCCGAACTTTTAACGAAAGCAGTGAATTTTGACGTTATCAACGTTTTCTTATAGTCAGCATGTTTAGTTTCACAACACGAGCTTCCCATTATTTGCAATTTCTTTGCGTATAACTTTAATTCAACTTATTGCTAGCGCAAGAATAAGGCTGTGTTGACATCCACAGTTACGTTTCCTATGTATTGTGCATTCTCTTATTATGTTTAATATTTTTTGGGGGTTCATTTTTATATATGTATGTAGCTTTAAAAGATAGTAATCGTTTAATAAAATATGGAATCCCATTTGATTAAAATATAAGCACAAACATATTGTGTATTAATTATAAAATGATATAAAATATGAATTAATGATATCTCCGTGTGATTTTTATGAGTAACTTATCGTCGCCTGGGTCTTAAACTGCTTTATCCCTATTTTTTTATTACTGTACAAAATTTTCTCTCTACCTCCCATACATGTTGTTATTAATATTATATACCCTATAAATGTTGCTCTTTATCCATTGGTGAACACATGTATAGCAATTACATTGCTCTACCTCCAGAATTGCAGTTATTGATATAAAACTGACCAATTAAACTTTTTGAAATATATCATGTGATTGTTACTTTACGTTAAGAGAGAAATTATTGTTGGTCAAGCTTAAAGTGCTCTATCTCTCCTATATATCCAATTTAAAACGTTTTGATACTGTAGTACCATACAAATTAAGAACAATAACTCATCTACTCCATTTTCAAAGCAAACACTCAATCATGAAAAATCAATAGAATCAAAACAAATAAATTTTCGATTTTATAACATTTCCACAAATATATATGCAGGCGTTTTATGCGAAAGAATAGCAAATTTTTTTATAGGTTTGTTAAATTTGAGAGAATGTAGCTTTAACCTCGTTCCTCCAGTTATGCGAATACTTATAAGTTAAACAGATTTAACTAATAACATTTTTATGAAGGATCTGGAATTTTTTTCCAGACTTGTGTACCATTTGTAGAAAAAGAGGAAGAAGAAGCTTTATTCTTTCATAAATCTCACAATACACAATTGACAAAATAGAGAAATAAGAATCACTTAAGAAAGCCGAACACGGCAAAATTGAAAACGTTGCAGACTCGATTTGATTGAGCCTGTTCATGGACGGTACTGTCAAGTGCAAACTACCGTCCACGCCATTATAGCTCATAGTCACATTTTTGGTATATACACTGATGAATTAATATTGGCATTAGTCAACAATAAATCTGTCAATAAAGTAAACAAAATATTTGTAAAAAAAAGTAAGATGCAAAAAACAGGATACACTACACTTACAAGCTTTAAATGCATTTGTTTCGTAATTACTTCCCTTACATTTCAAAATATCTAATACAAAAGAATATGTCTGAGACTAGAAGAAACGAATAGCTGTGTTCCTAAAACTGTGACTGTTTTAAAAATATATTTTTTTGTTCATAATTGAATCTTAAATGTTTATTAAGATTGATATAAAATATAAACTAAGTATAAAACATTATTTTGCATCTTCTTATTTTTGTTATTATTTGTATAAACAATTTTCTATCATGTCAGTACGCACTTACGTACGCACGTGTGTACGTACGTACGTACATACATACATTAAATACATTTGTGTACACACACATAATATTTTTACTTCTAATACACTTATTACTATTTTCTATTTACAAATACATGGCAATGCTGCGTGCTTTTTTTTTCATTTAACTTGAAGATAAATATTTTAACGCCATTTGACGTCATATGTACAACAACCATAAGTTTAATTAAAGCCATGATAAAATCAATAATTGAATGTTATAGTATTCGTGAAGGTTAACACATACTTATTAGTTATCTTCTTTCAGCGCGTTGAATTGAAACTATGAATATGTATATTTTCCTTTGTATATACCGCAGTACAACCATGCGCAATCAATAAAAGTATTAAAGAATGTAACACAATATTATTATATAAATATTATATCTGCATCTTCTTATCTCAAAGCTTTATATACATATACAGATAAATTTCTTATTACTTAAACATTTTCTAAGGAAAACAAGTCTATCGTTTGAAACTTGCTTGGTCGAACTCTGTAGTATCTATTTAGGAAATAGATATCAATTTTGAGTGCATTGTTGTAGAATATTGCACGGTTTGAGTTCAAATGCGTAGTTATATAATCACGAAGGCCGATAGGCCTGAGTGATTAATTACAAAGCATTTGAATGAAAAACGTGCATTATTATACAATAATGCACGAAGAATTAATATCTATTTCCATTCTAACACGTCAAGAAAAATATAATTATAATTATAAAGTTGGACTTTATGTTTGGTGGTTAAATTTGTTTTCGCCTGAGAGTTTCCAATAGAAACGTTCTTTAAAGGCCGTTCCAGTGGGTTGAAAAAACTGTCGTTAAATCTACCGTGTGTAGAAACATTTTGAGAATTTTGAAAATGTTGGTAAAACTTTGTTTGTTTATTTTATTGCAGTCTATAATTTTCCAAGCGAAATAGAAATTATTAAAAGTGAAATAAATGTAATACTTAACTCGTTTGCGACATTGAAATAGCGTACTTGATTTGATTGTTTTGTGCGTGCTGTTTGGCGCTACATTGTGACGTCATGTAAACAACACCTTAAACGTCTGTACAGCGTTAACGACTTAATTGACGATATTGGTGTTCGGATTCATTTTCTTAGTTAGACCATTTTCTTTCATTCTAGATAG